CTAGTTTAAATTAAAAGGAATCAAACTGGTCCTGAAGAGCTTAATTTGAGTCTATTTTTTTTTTCCTGTTCAAAACTGGCTCTAATTGAGTCAAGGGGATTGAGACATTTCAAGTTCTATCAATCCATTTCCAGTTGTATTAGGTAAGCATGAACCAGGCAAGCTGGCTCTGATCAGCTAGGATGAGACAAATTCTAAACAGTTTAATTGGAATCAAGCTTTATCAGTCTAGGTTAATTTCTGTACTGTCTGGAAAAACAAAACATTGCTTTAAGAACTGGTGTCCCTCCATGCTTGTGTCATGGTGGCAAAGACAGTGAGCTGACTGCCAGTGTCCATTCTCATAGTTTTCTTGATTACTAACGGAACTACTTATGTGGTTGTGGACATCAATGTATCTAGCTAAAACAAAGCAAAAAACAAACAAAAAACTACATTTTCTAGTCTCCCCTGAAAAGAAATGTGGCAAATGGAGCAGGCACTGAAAAATAAGTTTCTTTCTATTTCTTGTGCCTGAATGGTGGAAGAAATGGCTGGAACCACAGAGTTGCAACCATGAGTAAAACATGGTGACTTAATTCATCTCCAAGGATAGCAGAATAAAAATATATAAGGATCCTGGGTCCCTGATAACATAGTGAAGGTACCATCCACTGTTTCCAAACCTGTCAGTTCTCCTTCCAAATCTCCCAGGCACTCACCTGTCCTACTGAAGACTTTAGCTTCAAGCATCTGTACTCTCTGTCCAAAGGATTCCTGCCACGGGACCATGGTGGGGACTGTCAGAGAGCTACTGCCCCTGGGATCAGTTATCAGCCAATTTATCAACCAATGGATTAACACCTGTTCTTCCCAGCCCTCAGATGGGACATTCCAAGGTATATTCTATACCCTTTCCCAGATGTAGTGGGTAGGATTAAGCTTCAGTTGCTCAGAGCACGAATTTGCTCACTGAAAATCACTTCTGATTCTCTTCCCTTTCTTGTCTCACCTTACCACTCTCAAAACAGTGTTTCCTGTCACCACCAAACGAATAGGCTACTTGCTCTCAAATCTTTGTCTTATGCCTGCCTATGAGGTTACCAAATGTAAGACCATCTCTGAGTCGTCTATCTTGGAACTTCTTCTGAATTAAGAAACATAAACCCCTTTAATTAAATCAGAATTATTTGAGCATTCCCTTATTTACTGCTAAACCTCATCATATCTGATTCAATTAGCAGTGTAATAATTTCTTAAGCTTAAATCTCTTTGTTATTACTAGATTTTTTTTCCAGTGAAGAGCAACTACTAAAAACCAAAAACCAGAAGAGGAATTTTAAAGCCTTTGGATTTAATAAGGACTGATGAGTACTAAAATAAATACTGAAAATTATATTCTAAATGTTTACTTTTAGCAAATACAATTTCAACAAGTAAATGGCTTCTACATTGCTGACTAGTAAGTTTCAGTTCTTACTTGACTCATCCACAGCTTTTGATAGAGTCGGTCACTTCCTCCTTTCTGAAAAATGTTTCTTTAATTGGCCCGTGGGCAACCACTTTCTCTTGGCTTTCCTTCTGCCTCATTGGCTGCTCCCTTCCAGTCTCCTTTGCTGGTTTCCCGTCATCTCGAGCTGGTAGTCCCAGACTCAATCCTTGGCCTGTCTCTCCTTTTTATCAACAAGCATGATCTACATGGTATCATTCGATCTCATAATTTGAAATAGCACCCCTAGGTTGATGGATCTCAAATTTACATCTTCAACCCCAACTTCTCCCCTGAAGTTGAGACTCATATAATTACGTATATACCATCTGTGGTTGGCTGGCATTTAGACAGCTCAAATTTCACATGGCTGAAACCAGGCAAAACCACTCTTCTTGAAAACTTCAACTCAGTAAATGGCAACTCCTTTATAATGGTTGCCCAGGCCAAAAGCATATGAAACTAGCCACAATTCCTCATTTCTCTTTCAATGATCCACTCCAGTAGCCAACCCTATCAACTCTACCTTTAAATGCTTCCAGAATCTGACCCCTTTTCACCATAAGTTCACTAAAATGTTAGTATGAACTACCATAATTTCTTGCTTGAACTCCTTTAACTGCTTCCTATTTTAGTTCTCTGAGTCTTCTCTTTCCCCATGAACACCCAATTCTCTAGGCAGTAATCAGTGTGATCTTGATTCAGATATAAGTTGAATTACATCAATACCTTGTTCAAATTTTCCATTGTATATCCATCTAACTCTAACCCTTTACCTATAGAAAAGTCTTCACCTACAGACCCCAGAGTAACCAACTCCCAAACACTGTTTATATCCATCTAACTCTAATCCTTTACCTATAGAAACCTGACTCCTAGACACTTTTTTACTTCATCATTTACCACTCACTCTGTCATTCACTTGGCTTCAGCCAGACTCACCTCCATGTTGATCCTTGGACACATATCATGAATGCAACTCCTCAGGCCTCTGACTTCCACACCCTCTATCTGGAAGATCTTCTTACCAGCCACCCATCATGCCTCCCTCCCTTCCTGGAAGTCTCAACTCAAATGTTACCTGAACAGAGTCCACAACTAATCAACTTTTCTACCATAGCACAGCCCACCACACTCTCCCTTCCACACTCTATCCCTTTACTCTGTTTTTCTTCGGAATATTTATCACCGCCTGACTTGTTATAGATTTATGTGTCGTCTGTCTCCATTAGGATGAAAACGTTAGAAGAGACAGGACTTTGTCTATTGTATTCACTAGAAAATTACCTAGAATATAACAGGCACTCTATAAATGTTTTAATGAAAGAACAAATGCATTATAGTCATAAATTTATCAAAAATTATTTTTGACTTTGTCAAATACCTGATTGAATGTGGTATATTTGAATATTTTAAAAAAAAATTATGGAATTTTCAAATTTTCTGGTAGCAGTTTTATTTTCATTGATACGGAGCTGCCCTCTCTCAAAAAAAGGCACAGCAGGAGTTAAGCTGTGGCTGAGATCCCCATGGCTTACCTAGTCATTAAGAAAGACTAAACAAGAGAGTCTACTCTTTGCTATAATTGCTTTTTCCATTTTATTCAAGATGTTAACTAAAATACAGACAGCTCTCAGCCTACTTTTTCCGTCAGTAAGCTAAAATGGTAACCAAGTCCAGTTCACTTCTAAAATGTATTGGTACAATCCAGTAAAGAGGAGATGACAAGAAAAGAAAAGGCAACAACACTAAATATAATAATGTCCCTTTTTGTTTCATGAAATCCAAATTGTTACCAACATTAATTTTAGATATATTTTATGGAGACATTAAAACAAAAAGGCAACAAGAAATGTAAAATAAACACACACACACAAATAGGTTGCACCTGAGAATGTGAAAAAATCCAGAGAAAGATGTAATATTCTTTGACCACTAGAGATACTGAGAAACCATGCACACTAAAATGAAAATGAGCAATAAAAGAAAATAGTACTCAAAATGTAAATGACATGAGTTAACAATGGAGTATGAAAAGGTTATTGAACATGCTAAGTCTAATACTTTAACACTCTTCAGTCATGCATCTTTTAATGCACAGCTTTAATTATATTCATAACCTTATCTTGTGAACTCTACACCCACACCTATGAATTCTGTCAATTTCTCAGTGAAATAAAACTGTCCTAGAAATCGAGGACCAGGGTCAGAGATAGAATTAGAATCACCCACTCACAGGAGAAATGGAGGAAGTGTTTCCACTGAAAGGCTGCTGATTCCCAGATTCTCTAATCTAAACCACTTAATAAGCTATATTCACATTTCGAAGTCTAGGAAAGGGAATGCTGTACAACCCTGGACTTCATTCTGTTTATTCCCTATGAGGCATGGAGCAAGATAAGAAACAAGCCTCTCAAGTTAAAAGGAACACAGAAACAATATATATATATATATACACACACACACACACACACACACTATACACACACGTGTGTATATGTACATATATATGTATATATATCACAGAAACATATATATATATATTTCCCAAATTTGTTCCCAATTTTTTTTTAACTGAAAAGCACCCCAGTTCAGGTATCTTGAATAAAGAAAATTTGTCACAGATGAAAACAAAAAAGAAAACTTTCCAGTGTCTACCAAGAAAAAACTAATATGGATATTATGTGCAGTTTTACTTTGAAGACTAACACTTTATTAATTTATTAGTAGAACCTGTATTTTTCTTTCAATTGTTGTGCTTTGAATTACATATATATATATATATATATATATAATGTCTATCCTTGGCTAATGACACAAATGACTTTGGGAAGTGAATTAGGACTATTGCTCATTGACTGAAAGGGCCATACTATGAATTGTTTGCCTTTTATTCTAATCTCTAACTGAGAAAAAAATAGAATAATTTTAACTTTTGAGATAAACTTTCAGCCTGCATAAAACATACATCTTTATGAAGTAAACATCTTATACAGTTTCTCTCTTTAAAAATAGCTTTGACATGCTTCTGATGTCCTTAAATATTTGTGCTACAGATGCCATAGTTATATTTTTCAAAGAGTGGCTCAGGGGCTTCTGAAATATTAGATATCCCTTTGCTGCCAAAACATCAGTGAGTATTAGATCATTACAAGATTTTTCTTTTTTTTTTTTGGCTCTTTTCAGTTTATTGCATAAGGTTTTTCTTAAACCACTGTTTCTCAGATTTTACTGTGCATCAGAATTCCCTGAAAGGCTTGTTAAAACACAAAATACTAGGCTTCTCCCCAGAGCTTCTGATCCAGTTGGTCTGCGGAAAGCCTGAGAATCTGCATTTTTAACAAGTTCCCAGGTGGTGCTTTGATGCTGATATCCCAGGGACTACACTTTGAGAACCAGTGCTTTAAACTGTTAGTTTATAAGTTCTTTAAAGAGCAATGTAAGCTTAGAATCCAGAACCCACATGGCGCTTCTTAAACTCTCTTCAGAGCTGTGTTCTGGGGACATTCCTTGAGAAAATCATTTTTTTTAAAACGTTCCTTTAGCAACAGTAATGCCAAGGCAGCTAGAGAGTCTTTAATATTCTTTGCTTAGCTGTTTGCTTTTGCTGGGCCTGGACTGGTAAAATTCCTATTTCTCATCAGAAGAGCTGCAATCTACTATGTATCTCCAAGATGTTTTGGATCTAAACTCTCCCAGGACAGGATCTATGCCTCTGGGGGACCAAAGCCACAGCTACATGTCTCTACCCAATAAGTCTATCTCATCCAGGAGGAAGTCCATGTCCTCCCGGCTCACTTGCGGGCTGATCACCACCTGGCGGAAGAAGTTGACCTTTCCCCTGTGCGGCTGGTAGCCCAGCATCAAGCTTCCCTTCTTCATCATCCTCTCTTTAATGGCTGGGGCCACCTGTGTGGGGAGAAAAGGGGAGGGGGGTGAAAGACCAGAACACCAAGGCATTTCAACAGCATCTTCACTAGCCGTTGGACATTTACTGGGAATCCACTGGTGTGGATCCCATTCTCATCCCGTACACTAAGTTGACACTAATAATAATTATGGAGGACTTATGACATATGAGGACTGATTCAAGTGCTTTAGACATATTAATTAATCTTCAGAATAACCTTGAAGAAGATACTACTACTATGTCCATTTATGGTCGAGAAAACAGGCACATGGAGATTAAATAAATATCTCAAGGTCCCAGACATTTTCTCCCTAAGCCCATACTCTTTTTTTTTTTTTTTTTTTTTTTTGAGACGGAGTTTCACTCTTGTTACCCAGGCTGGAGTGCAATGGCACGATCTCGGCTCACTGCAACCTCCGCCTCCTGGGTTCAGGCAATTCTCCTGCCTCAGCCTCCCGAGTAGCTGGGATTACAGGCACGCGCCACCATGCCCAGCTAATTTTTTGTATTTTTAGTAGAGACGGGGTTTCACCATGTTGGCCAGGATGGTCTCAATCTCTTGACCTCGTGATCCACCCGCCTCGGCCTCCCAAAGTGCTGGGATTACAGGCTTGAGCCACCGCGCCCGGCTAAGCCCATACTCTTAATCATAAGTCATTATTCAATGCTGCCTCGTTAAAAACAAATCAGGTGTCCACAAGGATTACAGTCTCATTCCAAAATTTGTCTTAACTAAAAAACACACCAGTTCAGGTATCTTGAATAAAGAAAGTTAGTTATAGATAGGAAAACAAAACAAAACAAAACAAAACAAAAACCTTCCTGTTGTCTACCAAGAAAAAATGTGGATATTATGTGCATTTCTATTTTTGAAGACTAACAGTTTACTACTTAATTAATAGAACTTGCATTTTTCATCAATTATTGTGCTTTGAAAATGTATGGCTAAAGTTCCTAGAAAAAAATGAAAGATATTATTCTCACATATGAAATATAAACACTGTCTCTAATTAAGAGATGTAAATGTGGTAATAAACAAGTAGAAAGCCCATATTTTTAAAGATCTGTAGCTGACATGAGACATACAGGCCCTGATAATCCAGATGCACAGATTTTTCTAAAAGTCTAATGTTTGAAGAAACTAGTCTAATTTAAGAACCACATGGGAAAATCAGTCCATTTTCCAATCAGTAGTATGACCCCTCAAGAGCTAAGTTATAAACTTTCAAAATAATGAAGTTCATTTTTGATATACTAAGTTAAAATATTAAGAATGCACGTTTACTATCTTGGAAATACAAGCAAAGTTTTTCCACCTGAATTTTATTTTAACGCTGAAAACTTTTTGAGTGTGTCCTATGCGACTATGTGGAGAGAGAAGATAATGAGTTTCGATGCTTGCCTTCTAAGGAAGATGAGACTTATTTCTCCAGGCAGGAGGAATGCATATAGAAAGAACACCAGGCAGAGTGTGCTTTTAAACTCCTTGGGTGAGGGTCATGAATCTTGGTTCTCATGAGCTCTCTCTCTCAGTGTGACAATCCCAACCCGCTCCAATTTTTGAACATATCCACATTTTGTCAGCAAGTCAAACTACTTCATCTGCCACTCACCACAGTCTTAATCTGCTCCAAAACTGATGGAAGAATTGAGTGTGTTAGACCTCTGAAGATATTATGTGTTGGGCTTAACCACAGACCCTTCTCAAGGGATGTTCAAGGGTGATTTTAACTCAATACATTTTTTTTTTCCATATGTGCTCATTTTAGAACATAAGCCTCGCAAAACATGGACTACACAGTGCCTATGATAACAAAACAAACACCCTATTCAGCAAAACCACATTACCATTGTAGCAAAGGATTGGAAGTTTCTTACGGCATAACAATATACAGAAAGAAAATATATGGGTGTAAAGAAAAAGTGTAGAAAAAGATGATGTTGGAGGTCAAGCTAGTGAAAAAAGCATGGGCCGTCAGGTTCTATACATTTCTGGATGTGTGACACATTTTATTCTGAGCTTTCTAGAGTTTAGAAAAAGGTAATTAAACAACAGCCTCCCTTCACTTAAAACGAGTGACAAATGTCCAGTTGATACTGAAAGCTGGAAGCTAGGCGGTTAACTCTCTACTATATTTATGCATAGCTGCTTGAAATCCATGAAATTGTATGCATTGGTTGAGTTTTCTTCCAAATCCATTTATGCAAGTAGTATTTGTCATTAGAATTGTAAAATAACATGTAAGACAAAGATAGATGAATGCCAAAAAAGTGATTTGTACAAAAACTAAGTTGAGTTTTTTGGAAAGACCAGATGAAGGGGGATGGTGAAGCATCATTGTGGTCACATTAGGTGGGGTAAGAGAACTGTAAAAGCTTTCGAGAATCCAGACTGATGCTGTGCTGAGATCACTACACAGGTGTTTGAGTACTGACTCCACTTGAAGAAAGCTGAGCTGCCGAAGATAGGTGATTCTCGAAGAACGGAGTTTATGCAAGAACAGTGGAGGGTCCTCTAGTCATCAGACCTCTCCTTAAGAAAAGCTTCACTTGCTTTTGAAAAGTATTTGGAAATCCTCACTAGATGGTAAAAACCTTTCCATCAAAAGATGGTAACATAAATGTACACCGATGTACAAATATAACGCTAAAAATTTAAATACAGATATACAAATATTAAATGGGAAAATATTCCACATCATGTATGTATTACATTATTTTCTAAGAGTATTTGCTTTAACTGACTAATCCTCCTCACCTTAGGTAGGAGGGCTTCTCATGCGTATGTGGATATAAATGGGGCTTCATGCATAAGCATGGGGGTGTGTGGGCATGCGTGTATACACATGTTAATGCGCAAACTCACATATAATTTAAACCTCTAACCCCCCATACTGTACTGCCCTTAAAATCTCTCTGGCCACAGGGCAAGGGAAAACCATGCTTTGACTTAGGTTCATGATGAAAGTACATTTGTTTTTAATTCAAAGAACAAGTAGCCTTCGGAATGTAAACTGTGAGAAAAAGACAATAATACTACCTGTGCTAAATCAAGATTAGGAAGATCTGGTCTACATGGACCAAATGTCTGGCCAGAAGGGCCGCAAACGATCATCTTTGGAGCTTACAGCTTGTGGTTCTTGTTTTTGAAATCAAAATTCTCTTCATATTCATCTCCATCATCCTCCAGGTACCCAGGATGTAACTGGCTCTGGCTTATAGCCAATTTTAAATTCAAAACAGGCAAGTTCTTGGCTCAGGCCTAATTTGCATAGTCTATTCCTGTTTTTAATACTTCTATTTTTTCTTCTAAAATGGTATTTTATTCCTTATCTTTGGAGAGCATTAGAATTTTGATTCTAGCACACAATGTATCTGAGGCTCACATGAGGCAGTTATTAAAATGAATCTGTCGCGTTTGTATTTCTTCTGAGGAAGCCAGAAATATTTTCTAATGTGAACAAGAAAGGTAAAGGAAGAGGGCACCTCGGATGTTTTAATATAAAGATACTTTGGATGTTTAAATTCTTGCTCTTGTGTAAAGCACATGCATGAATTTCCATGGGCAAAACACAGGGAATGAAAACTAAAAAACTAGAAAACTTCTAGGACAAATTTTGTTACTGACTTTCTGAGATTATAAAGACATAACTAAATATATGACTCAGAGAACTAGCTAAGCAAAGGTTTGACAGCACAACACACTTTTATTTATGAGTCTATAAGATTAATTCCTAAAGGTATTTGCCACCAGGCAAAAAAGGAAGGTCTCCATTGTCTATGAATACTTCATGGGAAAGAAAGTAATAAGCAACACTAAAGCTGATATTCATCAAATCTCCATCACGAACTATTCTGCTGGTAATCGTTCTTGTTTTTAACGAATATTTTACCAGTTCTTTGCAATTTGCAATGTTCTTTCACATGTCTGAGTCCCATAAACTCAAATTAAGGCTTATTTGGAAGGAATCCACATTTTGGCAATTTAGGGACCCAGCACATTCTCACTAAGCGTCAGCTTATCACCTTTGCACTTAAAAAAAAAAAATCAACCATTTTCTATTTATGAAGCTTCAGGCATCACCCAGCGCTAGGTAATTTGGATATTCCTTTTCGCCGATCACAGCAGAGAAACAGTCCCAATCTGACGGGATGGCACGGTCACAGGAGGAAAATATGCATGAACTAAATGTAGGTATCTAAATATCACTCCTAAATAGGGCACACGTAGAGGAAAGCAATTTGGCCGGAGTGAGATTGCTTTCCGGCTCTCAATTATTTTACCGCTGTGTTTCCTTCAAATTGTAAATCAAATTCTTTCCTTGTGCCTCAGTGCACTGGTGTCTGCATCTTAAATGGAGGAAGATCCTGACATTTCTATTTGGATAAACAGTGACTTAATCTACACATGTCTGTAGAATTTCTGTCTCCCCACCCCCACCTTAAGTTATGTTCATCAACGATTTAGTCATTTAAATCGAGTTTTGTTGTCACATCGCTGTAGCACAAAATAGGATTTGATATGTAAAAGTTGCTTAACCCAAGGAAAAATAAAATAAAATGACTTTCTTTCTGACCGAGTACAGCAATTTGATAAAAAGCTTCTGACCATGCATCATTGTTGCCTTTGATTAAAATAAAATTATAATTTCTATAAAATGACATTTCTTCTTAAGAGCATATTCAGTGTTTAACAAGAACAGTTTTTAAAAAAATACGAAGTGTTTTTCAGGGCCGGGCATGGTGGCTTACACCTGTAATCCCAGCCATTTGGGAGGCCAACGCAGGCGGATCAGTTGAGGCCAGGAGTTTGAGACCAGCATGAGCAACATGGTGAAACCCCATCTCTACTAAAAATACAAAAATGAGCTAGGCGTGGTGCTGCATGTTTGTAATCCCGGCTTTTCAGGAGGCTGAGGCATGGGAATCGTCTGAATCTGGGAGGCAGAGATTGCAGTGAGCCAATATCACGCCACTGCACTCCAGCCTGTGTGATGCA